TAGTAGCTCGAGGGAGTAGTGGACTTGAGCTTGTGGAGTAGGCTAAGATGTCGTACGTCCGAAGGCGAAGATGCCTTGAAGTAACTTGGCGAAGATGCCAAAGGTGTTGAAGAAGCCGTAGTCTTGAGGTCGAAGTCGTGGCTCTGTGTAGCCCGTGTGCACGGGGTTGTTGGAGGCCGTGTGCACGGGGGTCGAAGGCCCGTGTGCATGGGGTTGGCAGAGCAGCCAACGCATGTCCTGAAGCTCGCTCTTCATGGTCATGTCGGTGTCGATGCTTGTGTGTACTTGCCGAAGATGGTAGCTCGGGAGTCTTTGCACTTGAGCGTATTCTCAAAGATGAGGAAGATCACTTGCGGTTCTTGATGAGGGCCTTGAACTCCTCCATTTTCTTGTCCATCTTGGCGTCAATGAAGTTCTTCATAGCATCGAACTCGTCGTCGTGGTTGTAGACCGGAGATGATGTGCTTTGCCTATCCATCACAAGACTCGAGCAAAGGTGAGTAGGAAATGAGATAAACAATACCAAGCTACCTTTTCCCAAAGTTGAGGATGTATCTCGTATCACTCAATGTGAGATGAAAGAATAGTGGAATTGGTACTGGACTTGTTCACTCACACCTACAAGTAAAAGCTTATCGAGTGGCTTGGTTAGGACAAGTGGCACAAATTTCATGCAAATTGAAGTCCAACATATTGTAAATGTTGAAATAAATCCAAATGACTCAAAATGCAAAGCAAGTGATCACAAATATAGAGGAGGGCAATAAAGAAACACACAAGGTGGGATAATGGGGCTTGTGCAACTATAGGGATGAGCAATACAAGATTGCCTAACAAAGACTAAGCTCGTGTTGCACAAACACTAGGAGAGCACTAGCTTGATTGCACACTTGGGCACGATTCACCACTTGACACCAACCTATATGTATGCAAGCTAAATGTTTCCTATTCCATGTATCCTCATGCACAAGTATCTCTTTTCATGCTCAACTCTTTGCTTATAAGCTTATGATCATCCTTTTCTTTCTTAAAAGCTTCTCTCTCTTTTTTGACTTTTTTTGGACTTTCCTCTTCCTTTCCACTATGCTTAATGAGCCTCAACCACAAACATGAGATAAGTATCACAAGATATGCACGGGAGCAAGCAATTGCACTATATGAAGTTAACACGGGCTGGAAACGGCCGACGGACTAATGGACCGTTAATGGGTATAAAGCGATAGACTGTTCATTACGGGCCAGTTTCACCACGGGCAATTAATGGGCCAAGATTTACAAAGGGCCTCATATGGGAAGAAAGACGTCATGGGCCAAACATGGGCCGGAAGTTACAATGGGCTGGAATCATATTGGACGGCTTAGATGACGCTACTGGGCCTAATTCGTGTAAGCCGTAACGGGTCGTGACCTAGCGGGCTGTATATCGGCTATATGCTAATAGGTCGTTAACAGGCTTTCCGTGGGCCGGCCCGCTACCTCTTTGACCAAGTCAAATGGGCCGGCCTTTTCACTGGAATGTGCCTCCGTTGGGTCCTGCCATGTGTCGACGTATCATAGGCGCCTCCTATCCAATGAGTGGATAACATCTATCCCAGCGGTGAGCCAACACGTGTTTCCTTCGGCCAATGAGTATTTTACACGTGGAAAATCCCCATTGGTTCGGGTTGTTAATGGGTTATTGGATCCAAAACCAGACCTGATAGCTTAACGGTGACCTGTTACGGTGGATGCCACGTGTCGGTCACCCTTGACGAAAGCACTTCCATGACGCGCCATTTATCGTCATGGAAATAGACACTTCTGTGATGATAATTTTGGTAATGTCATTGAACACTTCTACGACAGCACAGGTATGACTATCTTGATTTTGTCATAAAATCGTCATGGATGTACATGCATGACAGAAAACGTGACCTACTATGACAAACACGTATCATCACGGAAGTGTATTTTTTTTGTAGTGTCATCGACGACATCCGCAACATGCAACTCCAATATCATCTTCTCCTCAATTTTTTTTCAATTTTTCCTTCAAGTAATTGTTTTCTTCTTCAACTAAATTAACCTCTCGACAATAGGGTCGATTGGAATTTCCGGTTCACATACCTCCTAGATAAAAAAATCTATGTCACGTTGGTCGGCATAATTGTCATAAACACTAAATGAACCAAATAGTTATAAAAGATAATATATATATATATATATATATATCACATCCGAATCATAGATAGGACAAGGGCCGACGGAGGCGGATACCAAAACCATCGCATAATATAATAACAAACAATAATAAAAGTAAGAAAATTACACAAGTATCTATCTAAATCATACAAGTAAGAACTTTTTTCTTTTAGAAAGAAGATAAGATCAAGAGGCTCACCACGGTGGTGCCAGCAACGAGATCGGCGCGGGTGATCGACGGCGGTGATGACAGGGACGGGACAGGACGGACCGCCAAACCTAGACAAATCTCGAGGAAAATGGAGTTTGGACAAGGAGCTTCAAGAGGAGAAAGCTTAAGTACGGCTCGGGCATTTCATCGAACATCTCATGTGCATAGGAGGTGAGCTAGAGCAACACCAAGCTCTCCCACGGCTGGCTAGAAAAACAGAGCACTCCACTGCTCTACTCACGGGCGGGGGGGGGGGTATATATAGGCATCTCATTGGTCCCGGTTCGTGGCTGGAACCGGGTCCAAAGGACCCCCTTTAGTCCCGGTTCCAGCCACAAACCGGGACCAATGGTTGTGGGCCAGGAGTGAGGCCCATTGGTCCCGGTTCGTCTCTGGAACCGGGACCAAGCGGTCCAGACGAACCGAGACCAATGCCCCATGAGGCCCGGCCGGCCCCCTGGCCTCATGAACCGGGACCGTTGCCCCCATGGGTCCCGGTTCGTGACTGAACTGGGACTAATGGGCTGGCCCAGCCTGGACCAAAGCCCTGTTTTCTACTAGCATCGATATACACTTCGTTCGCGAACATGTGGCACTTGGGAGGGTTCGTGTTCCACACGTACCTACCGCTCAGCAGTTCGCCGATGGTATGGCAAAGGGACTACCGACCCCAGTCTTTGAGGAGTTTCGCTCCAGTCTCTGCGTGTCCGGCGACGCTTCGACTGCGGGGCGGTGTTGAACGTACGTTGTCCATTGTACATGTATAGGACTAGGGTTTTGTATTTATACCGTTGTATATCCTCTCTCCCTTCTGTATATTTGTACATCTTGGGAGACAAGTAGAGGCAGATCCACCCTATACCTATATATGTGCATCATGCACACAATCAATGAATTATTGACGCATGCAATCCTCTATTTCCAACTTACACATATGACGGAGATGATCCAAATCTTGATAATCAAGCTAGTGGCAATAACCATAAAGGCGAACCAAATGAGAGTGATAAGCCCATTGATGAATTAGACAAAGCGAACCTCACAGCCAGCATTTCTGGCGGTACATCTACTGGAAAAAGTGGATTTATCTGTGTCTAGTGTGGATTTTCATCCTGTGAGTTTTTCAGAGGAAGTTCATGTCCAATTTGTGGAGGAAATAAAAGCCCATCGGGCTCCTAGTTTTTTCCTACTTTCTTTTGATTTCCTCTGTAATCCATAGATCACCACCTTGTCACAATTTGCCGCCGCTCTCTGCTGATGATCAATGAAAAGCCAACTATTGCTGGATCTTTCAAAACAAAACAAAAAAATCTGGAGCTTTTGTTACTGTGGAGGAGCAGTTTCATGATGTGTGTATGAGGCCTTTTGTTACAGTTCCACCATCCCCTCAGACTGCTGATGATCAATGAAAAGCCAACTATTGCTGGATCTTTCAAAACAAAACAAAAAAATCTGGAGCTTTTGTTACTGTGGAGGAGCAGTTTCATGATGTGTGTATGAGGCCTTTTGTTACAGTTCCACCATCCCCTCAGACAAATTATCTCTGTTAGTGCTCAGGACCTGAGAGCTCTGTGTCTGCCCAAATGGACTATTGTTCTGCCCAGTTAAGTACTCCCTCCGTCACATAATGTTTTTGACTCTACAGTCAAAAAACGTCCTACATTCATTATGGAGGACGAAGGGAGTAGATTTGAAGTGGCTGAGTCTGACGAGGATGAGGATATTTTGGGGGAACAAGACAACATTTGCCTGTGTAAATAGTTGCAGCTTTGGGCTCCATTAAAAGATCCCTGCTCAGCTCAATGGAGTAGGCTAATTCTGACAAAAAATGAAGAGTGATGAACCTTCGACTGACATTTCCTCTAAGTGGGGTCCACTGGTCCAGTTATTATCCAGAATTCATGGTCATGTGGATATTATGGCCAAATCTGCTCAGAAGAGAAAGAACTTGGAAACTCCCAGGTCTTTCAAAGGAGTGGGTTTGGAGAAGCACCAGATGCATTATGCCTAAGCTCAGTGGGTTTCTCCATCAATAAAAGGTTCTCTTCGACAATGCTCAGTCGAGTGCTTCTCCTCAGGTGTGTGCTCTAGATCATCGTCGAGGAGAGACATTACCTGATTCACCAATTATATACCCAATTAGTGATGTGATTCATCTTTTTCAGTCTTGAAGCTACACAGATTCAGTTCAGTGCGATCATATAACATTCACAATTTCAGCAGCCCCAGTTTGCTGTTAGGCTAGACGCAGAAATTTATTTCAGAAACTGTTTCTGCACCCTCCCAGTGCAGTACAGCAGAATCAACAGATATGTTCATGCAAGTCCTATACAAGGTCTACTACTCCAAAGCCAATCTAAGCTGAAAGGAGCACGAGAACATAGCTATAATTGAACAAATCGACCCAAGGATTTGCAAAGCTCAACCCGGAGCAGTGCGGCGCAACCGGAGCACCTAGTGAGCACTGCAAGGAAGAGCAGAAACAAGCAGATGTCTCAGGCACTTGCAAACGCTGCGCCACATAGAGACAAGTCACCTAAGAGGAATGGCAAGCTTCTGATGCTTTCAGATTAGGCCGACTGCGAGCCACCTTGCGAATTTCTCACAGTTACATGTTGTCAGCAATCCTCTCCCCCTCTGAAATTTTGCAAAAGCAGTGGTCAGTTCTGTCGCCTCGGTAACACAAAGCAGAAGCACCTCCTCTGCACTTGCTCACCGAGCTCAATACCACATAAACATAAGCGTCATTCTTCAACTTCAGCCACCTCCAGTTCAGCTTGTAGTAGCATATATGTTAAGAGAGAACCAGCACATTACCAACCTCCATCAGCTGCATAGTTTGACCGTGCATGCCACTGTCCGAGCCCAATACTTGAGCCTAGCTTTCACTTCCTCTGGATTATCCCCTACCAAAGCAAATAGTTGTTGATCAGCCATGATCAGTAGTACATCATTTGCAAGGAAATAATACAATCTCAAAATTAAATTAACAGCAAATCAAACAGATATGGATAACATGCTTTGCACTGCTGGGGTCAGGGTAGCACGATTAGCGCATCTTTGAATTTTTATATTTTTTAGGAGGAAATATGAGTTGGAGGGAGGAGCATAATTCTCAGTGGGGACTGCTCTTGCTTTGCTTTGTTGTGAAGCTTGTCTTGGAGAAGACAGTTCGCCCTTACCAAGAAAAGTGAATCAATGACCAATGACCAAGTCACATGTTCTGTTGTGCCGGTCCGGTGTGTGACCCAGTCCCGGTATGTGGCTGGGCTGGGGCATCCGGCTTTAGATGTTAGGCTTTGATGCGATGTCTGTTTGGTATTTGGCTCGGATATTCGGCATGCCTTCATCAAAGGGATAGGAGTAGCAATAGATATTGCCTAGATGGTGGCTTCAGACTTACTGATGTATAACTTTGTATGGTCTTTGTGGATAATAATTAATAAAATGGTCGTATGCATCGTCCAGATGCAGAGGCCGGGGTATATCCTCCTTTTCTAAAAAAAGTCATATGTTCTAGTTTTGGGGGCATATGTTCTGCTTCTTTTATTTGCCTGTCTCTCATCTTGATTTCCCAAACAATAGAACTAAGAATACCAGTATTGCTTCCTCCATTCTATGCTCAAACTTTTTTCCTTTCATTTTTTTCCATTGGGCATCAAATTTAGATGTAACAAAAACCATAGGATACACAACAACCGAAAAGGTCAGTAGAATCTTGGGAGTGCCTACCATCCTAACCTTTTATGAATAGCCAAAGAAATGGCTTACAATTTTCCACGCCAGACATATTACAGACTACACCATGCAAAGCACCATCAAGACAACGGCGAAACTGAAATCTTTAGAACGAGAATTGGCTCCTGCCAAGAGTTGTGAGGGCAATCGTAACTCACAGCGATTCAACTGAATTGACATATATTCAGTTGATTGCCTCAAATTTGTATACCAACTCATATAAAACACAACAGATCTATCGTAGTCCCATAACAAAAAGAATGTCGCAACTTTATGAGTTTGTAACAAATAGTACCACTGTTGTTAATGAGCACGATTCAGAGAAAACAGGGATGATCTAAGTCAGACATTAAATTTCAACTGCTGCTTAATACTGGTCGGAAATTCCCTCATTTTGCAATAACCTGGATGCATATTGTCCGGTACAAAGTGTTGAAGCATGGATATCCTATACCTTATCCCAGAATACATGTTACGGTATCAGACATGAAACCTCAATTTAACCAAGCAAATCCAATAATCTGAACCAAAGTCTACTTCTAATCATCCCCAGATCAGAGAGTCCGCACACTAAAACAAAAGAAAACATAATCCACACCTTCGCATCGCTCCAAAACTGAAACTTTACCAAGAAATTAAAAAAAATCAGGTGTACAGGAAACAAGTCTTACCATGGCCGGAGATCTTCCAGTCCGGGATGGGCGCCGCCGCCGCCGCTGCGGGCTCCAGCTGCCCGACCACCGTCCTCTGCTCGTCGAGGAATCTCCGCGTCATGGAGTAACAGAGCTCCAGGCCGGGGAGCGTCCCGCAGAGGCCCGGGATCTCGTTATAGGAGAAGCTGAAGCCGAGGTCGAGGCAGCCCGTGAGCTCCTCCAGGTCCTCCTCCGTCAGGCTCCTGGTCCTCCCCACCACCGCGCCACCGCCACCACTACCAGAGGCAGAGGCCGCCTCGAGCATGACGCAGCTGCCCACCCGACGCCTCCGCGGCTGACGGCCGTTGCTGCCGCCTCCGGACGCCGGAAGCTGCGACTGCGAGAAGTAGGAGGTGGAGGAGATGGCCGCCATTCTCTCTTTCTCTTGCGACGGTGTCTTCGCCTACGGTTTGTTCCGCTGCGTCTTCCTTGGTTCGGTTTTGGGTTCTGGTTGTGGAGCTTTGTGCCTGGGGTTGGCTTGGGTTTTGGCTCATTTATAGACGGGCAAACAACTCGCTGGCATTTGTTTGAGCCTTTTAGGTGGGTAGTAACTCAATGGATGCCTACTGCGAATCAACCTGTGGTTGAGTTGGTTAGGTGGACAGTGGTATCCTCAACCCATCAGGATTCAAATCCTGGTGCTCGCATTATTTCTGGATTTATTTCAGAATTTCCGGCGATGCGCTTTCAGTGGGAGGAGACGTTCTCGTCGACGACGAGGCGTCTACGGTGACTTCGTAAACCTCAAGATGATATGTCGGCTCAGTCTTTCGGAGGTGCTCATAGGGGTAGGGTGTGCGTGTGTGCATTCATAGGGGTGGGTGTATGCGCGTGTATATGAGCGTTTGTGTCTGTACTGATGCTCAAAAAAAACTCATGGATGCCTACCTTTTCTAGCTAATTTTGTGAAGAAAATTTTTTTGGAGTGTGATTTTCGTTTCTGCAAAGTTGTCTCTCCCCATCTAGAAAACAAAAGAAGAGAAAAAACCGACTCTATTTCAGCCATACCATGTTCGGACAATATATAGTAGCCCACTGCCTGTCTATTTTTCTTTTGCGTGGGGAAAAGGAGTTTTATTTCATATTTAGAAAGTTACAGTCGAGAGGCAAAAAATCCTCGATACATGTTGGTTCAAGGTGCATCCACGCATCTAACAAGTAGAGATAGGCGATAGTCAGCCGGCGTGGCCAGAGGGCGAGTATGCAGACGGTGCGGAAGAAGGGGAGAAAATAATTTAGAATTTCAACTTTTGGAACGAAATTTGTTGTAGTGATATTGTTTTTAGGGCTTTTGTGAACCTTTGCATGGTGGCATATAAGCAGTTTCCTCCTTCCTAAACTCTGTCGCATATACGTAAAAGTTATTCCTACCTCCGCCACTGCTTTCCTCCGTATCACTACAATTCTTAAAGAAAAAGAGGGTGCGTGCGTAATAATTTGTTACTCCACATCATGATCTGAACGAGTGTTTCCTCGGCAGTTCTGTGTGGCGGACAAGGATTAGATAAAGCATGCCTTTTGTGCTAACACGTCTTTAGTGATGGCTGATGAGTGAGTAGAAGATAGGGTTGTACCTGTAATAACATCTCTTGATACCAGTATTCTAGCTTATGGTTCATGTGGGATTCCTTGCTACTTCCTATAGCTCTTCTTTTGCAGATACATTAGCAACTTTGGCCTCTATGATTTTGATTACCGAGGGACTCTGATACCAGTCTTGGTGCAATCGTCAGGGTCACCCGCCTACAGTTTTCGCAAATTACGTGCACTACGTACGATGTTGTTGTCATGGACCTGTAGAAGAGAACGGGCAACTCGCGTACGTGGCTTTACTGTCCCGCATGCGCCCTCAGCACATCATGATCACTCCCACTCCTCCTTGGACTGTCATGGCTCTTTTAGAGCCTCTACAGCCCGACCTTTTAAACCCGTCTCACATGTTCAGATAGGCCGTTCGATCACTGATCGGTCACATTTTTTAACCCAGACGGACGCTTTAAACGGGCCTCAAATATCTGGGCCGATCGACATCTTCATATCTAGCCCAAATACGAGGCGTATATGGGGACGCACGGGCGCGTCCAGGCACACCCGCCACATCAGATCCGGCCCATGCTGGCCCACCTGACCCTATTATATTCGTCCTCATCTACTCGTCCGAGCAAACACTAGGCACTTCACTTCACTCCCCTCCGCCACCCGAGCTCACCTCCGGTGGTTTCTAACCTTCTCCGTCATGGCAGGCAGTGGATCGAACTGCGACCAGTCTGGACCCGTCGACTCGGGTGTCATCCCGTGTGGGTTGGAGGAGGCAATGGCAGTCCGCATTGCACTCCGCCGTTCCCGGGAGGACAGCGCAAGGCCGACGGACGGATCCATCCACCACGACGCCATAGTGTCAGCTCACCAGTCGCTCGGGTCCTTTGGTGTTAGATCCTCACGGTCCCGGTAGTCGAAGCACCTCTCCTTCCCCATCACCGGTCGGGCAGACTATGAATCCCACCGAGAACGAGCGTTCCACCGTGGGAATGAGAGGATAAGGGCCGCAGAGGCCCGTACCGCGGCGGAAATGCCGGCGGCGGAGGCAGCTGATACGGCGGCGCGCGCGGCCGAAGAGGAGGAAGCCATCCGCGCCCGCATTATGAAGAAACGACAGCAGAGGAACATGCGCGCTCTCGTCTGAGAGCGGAATCGCGCGGTCCGTGCCATGGCCGGACTGCTAACGAAAGAGGGGAAGGAGGACAGCGACGACGAGGACAGCTCTGGCGACGAGCAGATCCGGCTCGATCCGTACTGTGTGTTCGACCGGTACTTCCGCGAGAAGGACGGCAGGGGCGGCGGGAAGGGCAAGGGCAGCCGTGGATGAACTCCTCCATAGCCAAACATGTCAAATTTTGATAGTCCGATGACATGTTTAGTGTAGTGTGATGGAGTAGCCGGACGATGTGTAGTTGCATCTGTTTGTATGAATTTAAGATACGGTAACTAAAGTGTCCGGATGTAGATTACATTATTTATGGGGTGCCTGATCAGTGCCCGTGGATGTATCTAGGCACGCCCGCGAGGTGTTTGAAAGGTCATATTTGTAAAGTCTGGTTGTAGATGCTCTAACAGTTTTACGTACGCACTCGACCTGGTATAAATGATTGAATCCCCTCACATCACCTCGGTGCAAAAATGACAGGCTTGGCTTCTGCGTAATCGACGGTACCGTGGCGTGAGCCACATGCGATGTTCACCAAGAAGCGAGAACTAGGTTCGGAGGTACGTGGACACGAGGTGGACTGCGGCGCCTGCACCCACACGTGTCATGTGTGGATAAGTACAAGCATCTGGGAAGGACTTGTGGCGGAGGAGCCATCAGCAAGCGCGGGCCCGGCCGGCCGCCGGTGACCTCTCGCGCGCGTCCTTGCGGAATCATTCTTGTGGCGTGGGGCTGAAGCCGCCGTGACCCAAGCGGATCCCTGGCCGCTTGTTCGATCGCCGGCACGTCCAGCCACACGCACGGCGCGGGCGGCCAACCACATTTTGCGGGTGGCCGCGCCGCGCGCCGTGGGGGCAACCGCGTGATTCCGTTCGGCCCGTTCCATGGCGCCGGAGGGCACGATGGCTACGTCGCACCCTCTCCAATCGTCTCGTCTGCAGCCGAGCCAGCTGCATGCGACAGTGAATGATGCACATGCACGGAGGATTGCGCACGTACCGCAACGCACAGCATGGGGGGTCGGAGCGGCGGAGCCTCCTTAGGAGGTGTTTATTTATGGACTGTCTATTTATCAGTTGACTGAAAATCAATTCGATTTCAGTCAAATTTTCGAGCCAATCAAATTATTGCGGTTGTACATACGCTAACGGATCTCTCATTCAATTGTTTTCCCTGATCCGATACCAAAAAAGACCGAAAAGCTAGGACAGACTCAATACGCCCAAAAAACACCTAACAAACACAACACATGAGAACACTTGAAAAAATAGGTCCCAAAAGTTCACTGATACTCTATACAACACCCAGACGAAAAAAGCATAGGCACCGGCGTGAAAAGGCGTCACGTCTCCATCAACTTGTAGTACAGTCACATTGTTAAAAACAGTAGAATCTACAGTTTAAATAGTGTTTCCATACAGTGTAATTACAACACAATGGTAGTGTAAATCTGACAATGAACTACAGAATTTAGAGAAGAGTTACAATGCTATTAAGGTAAATTTCTTTACAGTGTAATTTACAGTAGACTTACACCAAAATTACACTGCAAATACAATATTTACTGTGAAGATTACAGTGTAATTTAGAGTAGAGTTACAGTGTAATTACAGTAGATATCTTTACAATGTCATTTACAGTAGATTTACACCAAAATTACAGTGCAAATACGGTGTTTACTGTGAAGATTTACAGTGTAATTTAGAGTAGAGTTACAGTGTAATTACAATAGATTTTTTACACTGTAGTTTACAATAGACTTGCCCAAAATTACAGTGTAAATAGTGAAAGATTTACAGTGTAAATTGCACTAGAAACATGTGTAAATCAATTGAATTACACCAGTATATTTACAGTTTTACAGTGGAGTTTACACTGTAAATCTGCAATTGAATTACGGTAGTAAGATATGCAGTCTTTACAGTTGAAACACTCTGACCGTAAATTGCTCACAGTAAGAGAGTGCTAGATGGACAAACCCCGAAATCTATCTAGAAAAATGATGTTACCTAACGGATGATACATTTGTCCTATGTTACCGTAAATTGTCCTATGTTTCTTTTCCAAAATGCGCACGTATATGGAGCAACGGATGATACATAGCTAAGGTTATCACTAGAAAGTGAAGAAAATGCATTTCTGAATGTAGGCCCACATTCATTCACACAACTCCTACATTCAAAGGTAATATATAAGGTAAAGCAAAGAACAAACACCAAGAGGTAGAGAACTGAAAACATTGTAGCAGTCACATACTCTAAATGTACTCTTTATTGTTATCCTTCTAACTGGTACATACAACATCACTGGATTCAGATATGGAGCAGGCCAAAGAAATTGAGCAAGGAAATTTAGTTACAAAGAAGTTCGAATTCAGTAGCAATCGATTTGACAAGCCGAAGACTGTAAGAGGGACCTCTGTTTTAGCAAACGTAAGGAGGCACTCCATTCCATATCTCTGAACAACATCCCTGTACCTAGGGCGCAAGCATTGACAACAGTAGTAAAAACCTGCCAGAATATCTACTAGATACAATAATCGGGGGGGAGGGGGATTGAGAGGGTAGCTTACCATAATACGTTCTCCGACAGATGAAATCTTTCTCTTTAAGCATCTTACTCTGTTAAAAACATACAAAGGGAGAAAAAAACATCAATTAACCAGAGAG